TGAGCCTGAATATCCAATAAAAAAAAAGAGTGAGGGGCCTAAGAACTTGGGCAATAATTTGTGTGTCTTGGTTACGCTCAGAGATGAGAGAAATAGTGGAAATTTAAAAACATATCCAGGCTGAGCTGACATTCAACACGTCAGCTGAATAAAGGCCTGCCTTAATTTCTGCTGCTGTCTGTGTTCACCCATCCCTTCTTTGTGCTACTAATTAACCGAGTTCCCAACCCAGCTAAGCACACCAGTAACATAACCTTTGATTTAGCCTCGTAGCCACTTTTACAGGTGTTGCACAACACAGTTAATGAGTCTGAAGCAATCGGGTTTCTCCAGCGCTGAGCCCCAATTTGATTTGCATTTTTTCACTCTGATGCTTTTTCTGTTGCCTTTAGACTGTGCAGGCAGCGCTGGATAAGGCCAGAGAAGGGCGTACCTGCATCATCATTGCCCACCGCTTGTCCACGATCCAGAATGCCGACATCATTGCTGTGATGTCACAAGGACTCATCATTGAAAGGGGAACTCATGATGAACTGATGGCCATGGAAGGAGCTTATTATAAGCTTGTTACCACTGGAGCCCCAATTAGTTGAATTACTGTGAGTCTAAATTGGAAAGATTTCTTTTCTGTAAGCAAATACTCTGCGGTAGGGGTGTGTGTGTGTGTATGTTGGTACCCCATTGTGCTACAAAGTGCTCTACAATGTCGCGAGTTCTGTGGTGCCCTAAACGTACGTAGCTTTCTGCATCAAGCACGCTCGTCAGGTGCACGCAGGGGACTAAGCGCAGGCTGATGCCTTCAGGAAGTAGCTTAGCCCACTGCTAAGGAAAGCAAGCCTGAGAATGGGAAAGATCTTTGCTGGTGAGCTGGGGAATTGCCAGCACCTGCAGTCAGACTGGACAGTCCTGTCAAACCTCAATTAGCAATCAAGGAGACTCCACTCCGGTGTTCTGGAAACTGCCACTTGCCTAGGTAAGCTCTGTGAACAAACACCAATCCCAGGAATGATGCTGTATATCTGAAGGGATCAAATCTCTCCTAACGCTCAGCCTGCAGAGGATTGCAGCAGATACCCTCACCCCCCGCCTCCACCCTTCACACCCGCCCGGTGTGCCCGTGGGGTGCATCTGCACCAACGCATCTGCGCCTGAGCCTGACCTGATGGCGCCCCTGCACCAAAACCATTACCTACTCACAAAGAAGGCAGCTCCACAAAAGTAAGGAGAGCAACCAAGAGGAGGGACAGAAGCCGGTGAGGATCGTGTCCCCTACACTCACCACTCTGATTAAAGCTGTCAAATAGATTTTGAATAGAAATAAATGCTTTTGTTAAATCAATGCAAAATCCTACAATTAATCATCACAGTTATTTAAATCACTTCTATTGAGACGGTGATGGATAGTATGTTCTCTTTTTTTCAGAAGACAAGACAATGATGGGTATTTTTGCAGAAATCATATATTCAGTAAAGGTGGGAAAAAAATTAGCCATAATTAGCTCTTTGTTTATATTAAGCAGAGTTGGTAAATAGAGCAACACTTCATTCAGCAATGACAAAGGTCAGGAAGGCTCTTCTGACAGAAGCTTGTACCTGTAACAGTTTATTATACGGTCCACTGCATGTTTCTCTGAAATACGTTATTGGGTTTTGTCTGCAGGACAACAGGACTTCTTCCTTTAGCAACTGGGATCTTGCAGGCAATGCAGACAGACAGACAGTCTAAATTATAGTTTCAAAATTTACATCTTGATTTCAAATAATAGAGTATTAACTGGACAAGTCGTTCTCCATGTCCTAAAATCTGGAGCTGTGGGTGGGAGGGTTCACCCGCTTTGTAACAAACCATACCGTAATGGGGTTTCTTATAAAACTGCACAGCAGTACCAACTGCTGAAACTTGCACAGAGCTGTAAGGGAAAACTTTACTGGGCTACAGCCCTTCATTCCAGGCAGCAAAAAAAAAAAAAAAAAAAAAAAAATTTCAACTTTTGTACAGTTCCAGTAATAGAATTATTTCAACAGACCCTACTGAAGTCACATAGCTGACACTGAAATGTTGTTTTCCCAAGGAAGTCTGTATTTTAATCATTAACTGAAAATGAAAAAGGAAGCTGTGTTACTGGTCTTCTGCTTTAATCTTTTTAGTGTTTTTGAGTTTCAGGACAATAATCAGTTTGGGTGGCTCGGGATTGAAACTATCGACAGAGTGACTATCAATAACCTACTGACATACCTCTCTGATATTTCATTTATATTAGTATTTAAGGCCATGAAAAAATAACAACTCTTAAAAACAACAGTTACTGTGTGTACTTACTCTGTAATTCTTTTGCTTAAAGGACACCACTTTCGTGGCCCAAATTATACCAATAAATTGCATTTTTTACTGGCTCTTGTGCTTTAGCACTTCATCTCTTACCCTTCAGACAAGCACGAGTATCTCGCAGCAGGTAACGAGTATGTGTATGTTTTTGGGTCACATCTGTATCAAGGGCTGCTGTGCAGGACGGAGCTGCCGAAGGCCAATGCGACTGCCCCAGCCCCTGCCTGCAAAGGAGCCTGCCATCCTCTCGCAGGAGCACAGCGGTGTGGGCCCAGCTGGGTGGCACTACTACCGCTCT